TGCTTTAAGCATGAACAATTTGGAGACACGATTTGGCAAGCATGTCGAGCCTTATCTGTTCAAACTGTTTTACTCTATGTTTACTTGTAACAATGGTAAGGATAAGGATTTACTTGTGACAATGGTAAAGATAAGGGTTATTTTTGATAATGGAAAGGATAAGGATTTACTTGTGATAAAGGTAAGGATGAGGATGTTTTTGTGATAACGGCAAGGATAAGGATTTTCCTCTGATAACGGTAAGGATGAGGGTGTTTTTGTGATAACGGCAAGGATAAGGATTTTTGGGGATGACGGTAAGAATAAGGATTTACTCGTGATAACAGTAAGGATAAAGATTTTTGATAATGTAAGGATGAAGGTTTACTCGTGATAACGGTAGGGATGAGGACATACTTGTGATAACAGTAAGGATGAAGATCTACTTGTGATAGCGGCAAGGCTAGACATTTACTTGTAATAACGGTAAGGATGAGGATTTACCTGTGATAACAGTAAGGATAAGGCTTTACTTGTGATAAGGATAAGGAAAAGGATGCTTTTGATGACGTTTAGGATAATGATTTACTTGTGGTAACGGTAAGGATAAGGATTTTTTGATGATGGTAAAGATGAGGGTTTACTTGTGATAACTGTAAGGGTAAGGATGTACTTGTGATAACGGTAAGGATAAGAATTCACTTGTGATAACGGTAAGGATAAGAATTTACTTTTGATAACGGTAAGGAAGAGGATTTTTTATAGCAGTAAGGGTAAGAATGTTTTAAGACAACGGTAAGGATAAGGATGTTTTGTGATAACGGTTAGGGTAAGGATTTGCCTTAGATAACGGTAAGGTTGAGAATTTACTTGTGATAACGGTAAGGATTATTTTACTTGTGATAACGGTAAGGATAAGAATTTACTTGTGATAACGGTAAGGATGAGGATTTACTTGTGACAGTGGTAAGGATGAGGATTTTGTTTTCATAACGGTAAGGGTAAGGATGTTTTATGATAACGGTAGGATAAGGACGTTTTGTTGTAACGGTAAGGATAAGGATTATTTTATAACGGTGAGGATTAGGATTTACTTGTGATAGCGGTAAGGATGAGGGTTTACCTGTAATAATGGTAAGGATAAGGATTTACTGTGATAACGGTAAGGATGAGGATGTTTTTGTGATAACGGTAAGGATAAGGATTTTTTATAGCGGTAAGGATTAGGATTTGCTTCAGATAAGGGTAAGGAAGAGAATTACCTGTGATAACGGTAAGGATAAGGATGTTTTTTGTGATAACGGTTAGTATAAGAATTTACTTGTGATAACACTAAGGATGAGGATTTATTTATAACGGTAAGGGTAAGAATGTGTTATGACAACAGTAAGGATAAAGATGTTTTGTGATAACGGTTAGGGTAAGGATTTGACTGTGATAACGGTAAGGTTGAGAATTTACTTGTGATAACGGTAAGGATTTACTTGTGATAACGGTAAGGATAAGAATTTACTTGTGATAACGGTAAGGATGAGGATTTACTTGTGACAGTGGTAAGGATGAGGATTTTACTTTGATAATGGTAAGGGTAAGGATATTTTATGATAAAGGTAGGATAAGGACGTTTTGTGATAACGGTAAGGATAAGGATTATTTTATAACGATGAGGATTAGAATTTACTTGTGATAGCGGTAAGGATGAGGGTTTACCTGTAATAACGGCAAGGATAAGGATTTACTGTGATAACGGTAAGGATGAGGATGTTTTTGTGATAACGGTAAGGATAAGGATTTTTTATAGCGGTAAGGATTAGGATTTGCTTCAGATAAGGGTAAGGAAGAGAATTACCTGTGATAACGGTAAGGATAAGGATGTTTTTGTGATAACGGTTAGTATAAGAATTTACTTGTGATAACACTAAGGATGAGGATTTATTTATAACGGTAAGGGTAAGAATGTTTTATGACAACAGTAAGGATAAAGATGTTTTGTGATAACGGTAAGGATTAGGATTTTTTTATAGCGGTAAGGGTAAGGATTTGCCTGTGATAACGGTAAGGTTGAGAATTTATTTTTGATAATGGTAAGGATAAGGATTTGCTTGTGATAAAGGTAAGGATGAGGATGTACTTGTAGTAACAGTAAGGATACGGATTTACCTGTGATAACGGTAAGGATGAGGATGTTTTTGTGATAACGGTAAGGATGAGGATTATTTGTAATTGTAAAGGTCTGTAAATAATCGGGTCTGGACCAGACAATGTAGTGATCAACAGCATGAGTATAGATCTGCGCAATTGGGAACCGATGACATGTGTCAACCAAGTCAGCGAGCCTGATCAGCCGATCCCGTTAGTCGCCTCTTACGACAAGCATGGGTTACTGAAGATCAGTTCAAACCCGGATCCTCACTGTTATGTGGATCATGAAGCGGCTTCGCCCATCTTCTGTGAGTATAAAGTATAATCCTTTGAATAAAATGCTTTGTCGCCTTCTTCAATGCTGCGTGGAAGCGGTGTATCTGTGCATAGAATATAACCTCCACCTAATGTCAAATTTCTATTCATTGTACATTGAAATAAAATCTTCGTCGGATTTCGAATGTGTTAGCTGTGAAGTCAATTCGAATCAACACAAAAACCCTTTGTCCTCCCAGCGTTGAAAATTCAAACCCTCACGAGTTTCAGTAGAGACGCTAACAGCGTGTGCCTGCTACGGCTTGTTGGGTGTTGGCAGTATTCCAGCTAAGTGGTATTGCAACCGTCAAGATACATACATAACCACCACTCAATTGAATCGACTCTCTACTATACAGAAGAAAGTCTGTCTCACAGTCCCTCAAACCCACTCTTCTCCATTACGTCCATCCCTTTCTGCAATGCTAGAGACTTCAAATGAAGCAAGTCTAGATTTCATCCGATTCTGAGTTTTCCATCTCCCTGTTGCTCCTTTTCAGTTTAAAAGGAATCAGTTGTTTCTATCACAATTATACATATTCAGAGACTAAGTGTTAGAATACAATAGAATAATACTTTAATGCCTTTTCAGGAATTTGTGTTACATCAACAGAGCTACTGACACATTAGAGAGATACCAAACATATTTACATTAATACTTTGATTTAGGTATCTTTAAATTTGTTGAAGAGAGATTTGGTACTTGGAATAAAGGATGTACGGGCTCTCTTAGTTTTCACAATTGGAACTTTGTAGCGGCGGCCTGATGGGAGGAGGTTGTATTCCGAATTTAAGTAGTGAGTACTGTCAGATATGATTTTGACAGCTTGATTCACGATTTGCCGCTCATATATTGATGATAAACATTCAAATCTGACTCCAGCAATTTTACTTGCAGTGTTAACAATTTCGTCTATTTGAGATGAAGTGAGAGAGACCCGTACCAAACAATGGAAGGAAAATGTTAAAATACTCTGAATAAATGCTACATAAAGAGATGACATCACAGTTGGGTTAACATTAAAAGATCTCAGTTTACGCATGAGATGAAGACGTTGTTGACATTTTTTGTATAGGGCTTCAGTGTTAGAGTTCCAGTTCAGGTTAGGGTCAATGAAGGTTCCCAGATACTTATACTCCGACACTGTCTCAACACATTCACCGTTGGTTATCACTGGAAGCGTTTCTATGGGTTTACTCCGAAAGTGAATGATCAGTTCCTTTGTTTTTGTGAGATTTAAGAGTAAGTGGTTTTCTGCACACCAAGTCGTAAAATGATTAATGTCCTCTTTATACAGTTCTTCAGAATCAGTGTCGTTCAGTTTGCCGACAAATGCTAGTCCACACATAAGAGGACGACACTGAAACATAAGCATTAATTAAGTCCAAACCACTTTTCATGATCAGTACGGAAATACTTTTCATTGTTGTTTATGCTTTGAAAACCAAACCTGGAAGTATTTTACAAATGGCAACAAATTTTAACATATAATTGTACGTTGAAAATACATACACCATGTTAATACGTCCAATACCTATTGATAATAACATATTTACATGGTCTCATTCCAGCCGTGAAGATCCTGGTTAAAATTGGTCTTCAGCAACCCATGGTTGTCATCAGAAGCGGCTAACAGGATCAGGTGGTCATTGACGTGGTTGACACATGTCATCGTATGCCAGTTGTGTAGATCGATGCTCATGCTGTTGATCACTGGATTGTCTGGTCCAGGCTCGATTATTCGCAGACTGGCGCCATGTAGCTGGAATAATGCTGTGTGCTGCGTTAAACAACTAACCAACCAACGCATAAATATTAACGATGGATTGTTAGTATGGTAAATTATGCAGTGGTTAATAATGACACATTTCCACATTTGATGATGCATCACTGAAAACATCCCTATTTTGATATTGTTATTGACTTGCCTTTTCATGCATTTGGGATCGGTACAACCAGAAGGGTACGATGCACTCGCGCAAATACATCCTATCGGTTTCGGTCGTCAACATCCCTGAATAATACAAGTACATGTAACGATACTAATCCTGCATAACGACATTTTAAGTCAAGTAAACATATAGTAGCAGTATAGTAAACCTCACATGCATAGTTTCTAGCTTTCAACATCAAGAGATATAATGTATAAGTCGATAATCTACAAAAGGTCGTTGTTACCAAGCGATGAAACAATCACACAAGCAGTCTAGCACTGTTTATTCAGATTTCCTTTAACCAAGTGCAAGCAATAGTAATTGTGGCAAGTTGTAAAGAGAAACTACTCTTGAATCACTCCCACATTCTTCACCTTTCCCCCGTTCCAAAACATTGTCACTCTCTTTCTTAACAGTTGTTTTTCTTTCATCGCGAAACCGGTTCCAGTTCTCAACGCATTGCATACAATGTCTGTGCAGGATAACTATGATCTTACTGACTGTGAATCACGTGGGTGTTCACATGGCTACCACGCATGTGTATAAGTCAATACCACATTACGTACGGCGCAGTGTGACAGACATCTCCGTTCGATGTTACATGTGCTTGTACCTTTGAACGACCTTGTTTTACCAGTTAACGTTTTTCGATGTTGTGAGACTCAGACACCAGGCTTCCAGATGTCATGAAACTATGTGACTATTGTGGAGATGAAATACAGCCAAATTCACCAGGTGTAAATGTGTACAACAAGGATGTGGACGTGCGTTATGTGACAAAGCAGGATTGTATACCAGTTGGTTTTAAGTGCGTCGATGTATGTGTCAAAGGGGACAAAATCACATACCTGAAAGAAGGGAGCTCATTACCGAAAGGTTTTGACTACGTAACTGTTTCTGTCATAGGTCGAGACGTAGTATATGCAAGGAACCAGAACTTAATGCCAGAAGGTTTTGAACAAGTCACTGTGTACACCAGGAATAGGGAAGTAAAATACGCAAGACAAGGTGACAGCCCCCCAACAGGCTTTGATCGGGTTTCAACCTATGCAAAGAACGAAGAAATAAAGTATGGGAAAGAAAGTGATTTTACTCCAGTAGGATTTGAACAAGTGACTGTCTGTGTGAAAACAGAAGACATATTATACACAAGGCAAGCAGAGCATAATCGAAAAGGTTATGAGCCCGCGGCAATATATGTGAAAGATAAGGACATAGTACATGCAAAGTGTCGCCAAGTAAAAGGAGCATTTCACACAGAGTGCCTGAAGTAAGTATTGCATTTTAACCACGGAATAAGAACATTCTGTTGGGTTTTTTCTATTTTTTATTTCTTGCGTTTTATTCCGTGCATTTGTTCTGACAATTTTTCATTTCAGTAACTATATTCCACGGTGTGAGGAGGCAACTTGTAAATTCCTGGAAAGAGCTTCACCAAAAAGCAATGTCTTGTCTATCGGGATTCATGTCAAGTACTTATTTGGAAAAGGGACAGTAAACAAAGAGCAGAGAAGAAGAAAAAAGGAGAAGAGAGATCGTAAAGCTATTGAGTTACTGAGAAAAGTATCGGCTCTGCGGAATTCCAACTCTGGATATATACTTATTCATCTTGTTGGCCTGGCACCTGGAGATACTTTCACTGGCGCATTTGATGAGTTTGCTGACGAAAGACTTCGCGATTTGATTCAAGATGACAAACAGTTTAGTGATGTTTACAAGAAACAGGCACTGAGCAGTTGTTATGCTTGTCATGACTTTGGCGACTTTCTCGTGCTGTATGTTGGAGCTTCGTCAAATGTAACAACTTCTAAATTCAATACGAAAACAACACTCGATGACCGCATCGAAGATATTCGTGCAGAAACGCTCAAAACATTCGTTAGAGAGCGAAAACCCGTAAGCGAAACATTCCATACACTTCCTGGTGTGACCCGGGCACATCACCTTCAGAATGTGCACGAAAACAGATCAATTCAAATGAAAAGTCACTTTTCTCAAAAGAAAGATGGTCGAGCAATAGCAGAGGACATCATCAAGAATCATAAACTTGCAGAATATATCAGCGCATTTACTAAAACTGAATGTGGTGGTTCCTTTCTTTATGGCGTCAATGAGGAAACTACTCTCAAGAAGGGATATGGTTATGAGACTAAAGAAAACCGCATCCAACCAGTCATCCTGAAGGACAGAACCGTTTTCGGGGACACTTTAGGGGATAACATCAAGAATACTGTCCTGGTCTGTGACTATGATGGAAATGAACTATGCCCAGATCCAAATATTTTCCAAATTCATTTTATTCCTTGTACACCAGCGGAGAAATTAGTGTATCGGCGAAACAGTGGAGAACCTGTACATGATGGACATGGTGATGAAGATGCTGTAGTTGTTCATGTTGCTGTCAGACCAGTGAGTGGGATAGTGTTCCATGACAAACAAGGACCGCTTGCATATAGATATGACAGACAATTCAAACTGATCACACGGATAGATATCAAGGACTGGGTACGTGCCCTCACAAAACGGAGAGTAACTCAGCAGTAAACTGCTGTAACACACGACGGTAGGTTACTAAAGTTCGTCTAACCTCATCAAATCTATATAATCTAATAGTATAATATAATCTTGGTTTAGGTGAGCGTCGATCGCGTGTATGGGATATATCATTACTTCATGTCGAAAAAGATTAATTAAAACTTAATGGAATAGAGAAGCCTTCTCAGATTTAAATTGCAAGTTTGATTTGTCACACAAAATATAACACCTAAAAATGTGCATAACTGGTGTGTGGAAAGAACGTCACAGTTTGTGAGATGAACAACAGAATGTGCCAAGTTTTTCATCTTTTTTTAGTAAATTACAGTTTTTACTGTTTGATGGTGATTTAACCAACAATACGTTCTGTTTTGTACTTAAAATAAGCGAACAAACGAATTCATTGATTTGTTGGAAATTACTCCCATTCACGTTTACTGACAAATGTTATTTTAAGTAAAAGTGTCGCAAAGGTTTGGTCACCTGTCTGAAACCCTGTCTTAAAATCTCCATTTATATTAAATCAATCATACGTTTATCAGATCTGTTAACTGTAAAAAGGCATTTTGATGTGTAGCTATGAGACAACATACATGTACGACACACGAAACAACATTATGTGATATATATTCAGTGAATATCTCTACAGTTTCCTCACATAAACAAAAGTATTCATTAAAGGTGAACAACGTTTATAAAGAAGGCGAACGAAGTGTAGTCCTAAGTACTTAACAACCGAGGACGTAACGTGTACGCGAGACGGTCTTCCGTTATGCGAGGGGGTCACTCATTCACGTGACTGCTTGACTGCGGACAGGGATTTATTTTTTTTTTTTTGGGGTATATTATTATACAGTATATTTATATAGCGCCCATATCCATGCAAATGGTGCATGCTCAAGGCGCTGGTATTTTCCCCTCGATCATTGGATGTCAATTTTAACAGCACATCGTAATATCAATCTCAACTCCCTGGGTAGTATTCTACTCTTGCTGCCACTCGGCGCACCGAGTTATTGTGGCTTTCTCATCCTAACGAGGTACACATTCACAGTTGGGTGGACTGGGACACATAGTTCTTTTAAGTGCACAGGATTGCGTCCTGCACACTAGGGGTTGTGACAACACTGAAAGAGCCTGCACACAAAGTTGACTCCAAGGTTTTTTAGACCCGGTCACAGGTGGGCTCGATCCCGGCACCTCAATCTCTCTGGATCACTAGCCTAGCGCCTTAGCCAGCTCGCCCACCGCGCCCTGTCACAAAAAAACGCGTCTAAAAGTGTTATCAATGCAAATACATTTAACTTGCTAGGGCCATTGACAGCTGTTCAAGTTCATGAACGACATGAATGAAAACGTCAAAATCAAATACAGTCAAATTTTCACAAAAAACGTGCATTATTTAAGCAAACTTTGACGATTATTAACAGCGAATTTCACGCATATGCATATTTTACAGAAACTTCAATTTAGTATTTTCTGAAAGCTCATTCATCGTATAATCAAACTGTATATGCAGTTTTCGAGACACACGAACGTACACCTGTTTCTTATTGCGTTGAAAAAACCAGCATAAATACTTCATATTTACTTTCTTCGAAACTGTGCGAAGCCGTTTCGCGTAGAAGTGATTGAGGAAGCTAGCTATTAAACCTTTAGCCTGCTGAATTTGTTTCAGCATAAGGTGTTGTAAGATTCGGGTGATTTCAAACAGTCGGTGTGTCATAAAATAAAGGACAACTGAACCAATATTTTGCACATTAATCCTTGGTAGAAAAATTAACATTATTAGCTAAAAATATCCTGATAATTTCAAACATACACAGGTTAAGGTCAAAAAAGACATATTATAATGTAACTTTTGTAGAGTTTACCAGAATTACTTGATTGAACAGTGGAATGGGTTTCATGTTAGGAATCTGTATAATCGTTAAATTGGCGCAAACCGATTTCAATATTCTTATCTCCGAGATCTCATATTTAACAGAGTTTATATTTGTATATTTGTATCAGCAAATATCGGCGCTACGGAAAATTAAACATTTCTGAAAAATAATATTCGAAAACGCTCGTCGAGTTTTCGATTGCATAACATATTTATTCAAATGACACCATTACGTTCATTCCAACGTGTCATGTCACGAAAATTTCAGAATATAATACATGATTTATTATGTCCAATGCAATTCTCTATTTTGACGTATACATTACGTTCCAAAATTATTTCAGGTGAACAATTAACTAGACTTAGCATAATATTATGTTTATAACGGGTGCCGCCGGTAGGGCAGGGTACGGTTAACTTTTCGCGAACACCTAGTATCATCACTATGTCATAGTGATTCATAAACACATGCTCTGTCATCGTATCGCATGGTGACAATCACTGGATTGTCTGATCCAGACTCGATTTGATTACAAACAACATCGTACAGCTGTAATACTGCTGAAACAAATCTAAACTCATGACAAAGACAAAGTTGTACAGTCGCCTCTTCGTTTAGCACAGATTTCGTATGGATGTGGTAAAGGTTTTGTCGCTTCTATTATTATGACTTTTCACCAGTCCTAATTTCAAGTCTTATGGTCATTGTTTTCGACGCTTACCTACATAAAAATACCGGTGTTGCATTCTGGTACGCGTACGAAAACCAACCTCAACATAAAATATTGCTATTTCAATTTGAACAAAGTTTACACGACTTTCATGTATAAACCCCGGCGAAAGTTGACGAACTTGTCATTCTACGAGAGTTCCATTTATCATTTTCAGTTGAATATGACGAGTGGAAAACGAAACTTAAGATCGCGAAATCTAAGTTCAATTTTCCTGTAGGTGCACAGGTCACCGGATGTAATGTCACAGACAGGGGTTGTCTGCTAAAAATCTTTCGTTATTGAATACTAACAGTAAATTTGGAGATAGTTCGTGTATCAAACCCAAATGTAACACAAATAACTATCTAGTATGATTAATCATAGCTCATAGGAAAAACACAATGTGTTTTTCACCATATAGTTCAGATATCATAAAAGCTTATTGACCTTGTATGCTTCCGTGACCCGGGAACAGTAGTTTATCAACAGTCCACATTTAAGTTTCTCAGTATCTTTCATTTGAACTTTTGTTGATATTAGGAAAATCACTTGATTCTTCACTTGATATGTTGAAAAGAAACATATAACTGTAAGTCTTGCTGATGATGCTTTGCTTTTTTACTTTGTCCGACGCAATAACGACATCGACATCGGCAGCAGTCCGGCCTCAACAACAGGTGCGGGGATATGAGGGTGACAAAAATTGTGTTTTAAAATAACATTCACGCTTTTCTTATTGTGATAAAATATTAGCAAATGCATGACGCATATATACTCTCCAAGAAAAGAAACGCATCATGAAAATAGCAATTTCATGTAGCAATGAATTAATACGTGATTCATTTTACAAAATGTTTTGCTCTGTTTATGAGTCCTATGGTGTTTATGTTTTGAAACATCACAACAAAACGCACCATCCGTAAAATACCCGTATTTAACAGCATGATTTTCAATTTCGGCGTGTAGTGTCACAGATTTACACAATTCACATGCAATTCACGTGAAAGTTGGGGATCAGATGGTCTCAATGATAGGTATAAAAGGTTGATCGCTGTCTGTCGATTATTCACTGTATATGGAATATTGTTGACGAACGCAAAATGCCACGTCTAAGTGAAGCCGACCGTCAGATCGCCATTGGTTTGCTTGAAGCTTGCCATTCTCAACGTGCAGTTGCCCGACGCATGGATGTTCACCAAAGCACCATTTCACGGCTCTGGGAGAGATATCGCCGGCAGAATTCGGTAGCAGATGCCCCTCGTAGTGGGCGACCTCGAGCGACCACTGCGGCGCAGGATCGCTACATTCGGGTACACCACCTACGTCATCGAACAGCTACGGCGACCAGTACAGCTCGACAAATACCCGGATTGAGGAGGCTTTCTGCACAGACCGTCAGGAACAGGCTGTGAGAGGCTGGTTTACGTGCCAGAAGACAACAACATCGCCGACATCGAGTTCAATGGTGCACCAACGTTCAGGCCTGGAACCTACCGAATTGGCGTAGAATCTGGTTCAGTGATGAATCACGATTTCTACTGGAACGACACGATGGAAGAATGCGGGTGTACAGACGTCGACGTTAACGTTTCGCCAACGCTTGCGTTGCCCCAGGTGGACAGATTCGGCTGGGAAAGTGTTATGATGTGGGGAGCGATCACCCGCCGTAGGAGAAGTGATTTGGTGATGATCCAGGGCAACCTGACAGCTCAACGGTACTGTGATCAAATCCTACGCCCACACCTCCTTCCAATCATTGATCGCCAGAGGGAGTTGTTTTAACAGGACAATGCCAGGCCCCACACAGCACGTCACACTAGAGATTTCCTCCAGAACCACAACATCAATGTGCTCCCCTGGCCCTCAAGATCACCGGCCTTAAACCCGATCGAACATCTGTGGGATGCCCTGGACAGACAGGTGCGACGCCGTAACCCTAAGCCCCAGACACTTCAGCAACTCGCACAGGCACTACAGGCAGAGTGGGCTGCGATTGGGCAACACGAGATTCTGAGACTTATTCGTTCGATGCCGAGGCGATGCCGTGCAGTTCTAGTTGTCCAAGGTGGTCACACGAAGTATTGACTTCAGCGCCACCACACGTCTCTATGTGACTTTCCTCGAGTTGGTGCCAAAGACGGATAAGTCTGCATTCCCAGCATTCCCAGTGTGCAATTGCGCTATATTTCATTGACTCATAAAGCCTACACGACCTTTCAAAATAGACACAACAATACAGTTGAAATGCGCTTTCTTTCTTTTCTTTTTGTTTTTTGTTGGGGTTTTTTTTTGGGGGGGAGGGAAATATTATATACTGAAATATAGTATCAATAATAGTTTCACATGGAATGATTTTATAAAAAAAAATTCATTTTGCATGCATGGCCAAATTATACGTCACACTTTTGGAAGAGTTTGAATTACATGCAT